CCCAACCCGATCCTCCCTGGGGCTGTCTGCTTTGGCAGCTGTCGCCCTGCCCGAGACCGTGCCAGTGAGAGCTGGAGCAACTTCCAGTTCTCTCTCCAGAAAAGAGGGGGGAAATCAGGAAGTCGTTTGTTGGGAGCTTGATTCCCAGCACCTAGCCCCATACCTGGCACAGTGCCTGGCAATATAAAGAGCACTCAGTAAACACTGATTGAATGAACAAATAGGCCGTCACCCCGTCCACCCGCCCCCCACCCCCACTGCATCCAGTGTGAGCCGGGATGGATTTGGCCTCCTAGGTTTCTTGCCTATATTAATCCTCAGTTTCCCTCCCTCCCTTGCCTCTCACCGGGTGTGACTCGACACCTTAGCTGGCCCTTCTGACCTGTCACCTGTCCTGGCTCCCCTTCCAGGATCCCCAGAGGATCACAGCAGAGTTGACACCACCAGCCAGGAGGCTGTGGAGGAGGGAGGTGGAGGGCCCCACCCTCTGACCTGGGTGGCACCACCCCCATTCCCTGCACTGGGGTCTGTTTCAAGGCTCTTAGGTCTGGGAATCTCATCATTTACAACCCCGAGTCCTGGTGTTGAGAATCCCTTCTCCCCAAGGTTTTTCGTTGCTTCCTGACTCATCCCCTGGACACTGTTGCTAGAATCTTCTCCTTGTTATGACTCAACTCTGACTCGGTTGCCATATTTTGCTCTCATCTCTTCTGCAGTTACAATCAAGTATGAAATCCACATCAGTATAATTTTTATTGCAGATTTGCTGAAAGGTGCAAGGTCTTGAAGCTACTTGGCCTGCTCTTTCTCAGTATTTCTTAGTCTCTTTCTGAGAGAAATTGAAGTTACCGTCTTCTTAGAAAAAGTCTTTCTTTCCTTGTTTTATTTTTGTTGACTACTTCTAGTAGTATTGAATTCTACTTATTTCTACTTGGTCTTCACAGTTTCTGTCCTTTCCATCCTTGTTTTCCTGACCCTTTTTCTACCATATCAATTAAGCCTTTCCTTAGCTCTTTCCTCAATTATAACAATACCTCCTACGTGGTCTTACCTAATGTGCTAGTTTATTCTGGCCCTGGCCCTTATTATCTTTGGGACTTGGGGCAAGTTGCTTTTGCACTAATCCCTAGTTTCTTCAAATAAGCATAATATAGAATGTACCTTATAGGGTTATTATAAATGTAAGCAAATATCCTAGGTTCCTGCAGGCTATGAATCCAAATGTCAATTCCAAATCTTAATAGTGCTCAACGTCCTCCAAATATTTTTGGGGAACCCACAAAATGATGAACTCAATGAAGAGTTATTAAATACCCTGTGCCAGTCACCAATCTGGACGCTGGGGAGACAGCAATGAACACAGAACTGGACATGGCTTTCATGGGGCTTACATTCTAGAACAGGGAAAGAAGAATTTTTTTTTGGGGGGGGATATAATTGATTTAAAGAAGAAGGAGGAAGAAGAGTTGGAGGAGAAATAAGAAGAGGAGGAGGGAGAGACAGGGAGGGGGAGAGAGGGGGGGAGCAGAAGAAAGTGAAAGTGCATGAAATGATGGTAAGTGTACTAGAGAGAAAATTAAGGTGGATGGTACCAAGGGGTGGGTGCAGGGGTGTTGAGTTTTATACAGGATGCTCCCATTGAGAAGATGTTGTTTGTGCAAAGACACTGAATGAGTCTTACTGGGCAGATCTTACCTGTGTTCTTGACCTGGCAGTGCTGTCATGGATTGTCACAGGTAGCTTACCCACACAGCACGGTGCTGGCTGGAACAGCGCCAAGGTGAGCTAGAAATCCACACCAGCACCTCGGCTGTAGCCCTGCATCTCTCCTAGTCAAAGATGCTTTGCAAAACAGGAAGTAAGAAGTTCAACTTTTTTAGCATTCATGATCAAGGTGAAGAGCCACTGAACTCATTGGGGTCAACCATCACGACTTTGCTAGGAGGTGGACAAAAGACGTTTTCTGCCACCACAGCCTACCCCGTGGTGATGGTTTTGTGGGAAATTTAGAGCTAGATCACCCTTCAGGACAGGGATGACTCTTTGAAAATGAAAAAAGAAAAGTTCTTGTCTGGATGCTGCACGCAGCTACCTACCTAGCGGTGGCAGGCCCTAGGGAATTGCAAAGTTTCCTAAAATGGCACCTTTTGTTACAAGAAGCTCTTTTTGTTTTCTTCTTGGAAGACACATACAAGGAAACTGGATTAGCGCCTGCCCTCGACAGTCAGACTGACCACAAGCTTCCAGGACCAAAGCCCAGCCTCAACTTCCCAGGCTCCTTCCTCAACAGGTTGTATTTTCTCTGGAAGCCCCAGATACCTGCCAGCAATGTGCCAATTGTGGAAAGTCCCATGTCCCAGACATTTTGATGCATGACTAAAACCCTACTGAAACCAGGATTTCAGTTTTCTTCCCAGCAAACTTCTCAGCCCCCTTATAAATCAGTGGATCTAATCAATGCCTGAAGGGTAGGGATGTTGTCTTACTTTACATCACAAATATTCTGCCTTAATTTTCCCCCAGCTGGGACCCCAAGTTACACAGTAAATACAAATACTATATTTATAAAGTTCCTAGTGTAATGCTTCTATTTAGCAGGTATTCAAAAATTAGTAGCTATCATATTGATGTAGGTAAATTATGAGATATTGTAAATTTATTTTTGTAAATATTATTTTGCAGAATGTTTTTTAAAATTACATATTATATAATTAGAAAGAAATTATTTAAAAAAAAACTTGCCATGTTTTATTCCTCTCCCTTTCATCTAAACTTCTCAGAAGAGTAGTCTTATAATCACTATTTCTACTTCCTCTACTTGCTTCTATTTCATTTCTGTCACAACCATTCCTCTAAAACTGCGCTCACTAAAGCTACCAATTAATTTTTAAAGGAACTCCATCAGGAACATGTAGGTGGGCTGGGGAGGAAAGGTACCCTTGAGGAAATGATAACCTGGAACAGAGTGAATTTGAGTAGAACTGAGACCAGGGAGCAGAAAATGAAGCCATTTCATCCAAGTTGATAACATGATCTAGAACCAAAGTGGAATCCAAACACTTACCTTACTCAAGAAACAGACCATCTAGTTAGAAACCAACTCACCTAAGTAGAGACAGAGTCCAGAAAGAAGCCAACTTCAAACAGATGAAAGTTGACCAACCAAGGTAGTCCCAGCAGGAAAGCTACAAGGAGGTGGCAGGTCAAGAGGAATCCCAAGCTCAGCAAGTTGCCAGCTACCTGTGACTGGTGTTTCTGGGAATGCCTGATGAAAATCCTAACCTACAAATCACTTTTCAGAGGTGACAGATGAGCTCCCAGGAGCACTCCTGGACTGGATTATGTCAACAAAGTGCCTGCCACACCCAACTTCCTCTTCAAGATGAAACTGCCCCACCCACAGCCCCCTGCTCTGAGAAGCAGAGCTAGATTGTTCTTTACCCAGGGATGGCTTCTGATTGGACCAGAGACTGGTCCCTAACCTTAAGACTGCCCCCCCAAAAACCAGGGCTTGAAGGGAAAATATGAGTTTGGCTGATCAGATTCTCTCCTGGGATTTGAACTGGGAAACATGGAGATAAATGGGGCTGTTAACCATGGAAGCTGAGGTTGAGAGAATGCCATAGACTGGAGTAGGGGCCACGGAGGGTTAGTCAAACCAACACTATGAGGAAGCTGAACAGTATGGTAAGAAGACAGAATTTATGAATAAGCAGCAATTATGCAATAGAGAAAACATATAAAGAGAAGCCAGAATTTATTAGTTAGAAAAGGATAGGAAAAAAGCAAACCTCCAAAAGAGGTTGAGAAATGGCTCACCACTGTCACAAGGATCCTTTTATCTGACTCTACTCAATGTCACTTTCCTGCCACCCAGATTTACAAAGGCTCCTGCATTCTTCACTGGGACAATCGTAACTTCCTAGAGTCTCTTGCTAAGTCTCCACACAGACAATGACAACCTTATTGAGAGCCAAGGTGGTCATTATTGAAGGCAAAATTCCTCCTCCCGCAATAATATCTTGCATCTTTGGCCAGTCACCATACTTGATCTTCAAAGTCTGGACGCCATGAAGTTCTATGACAACTTCTGTGCTGGAGTCATGCACCATGTCAGTGTCATCTAGCTGCAAATCATACTTCGGAAAGTACCTGATGATCCTAGGCATTAATATCCATGTCAGCCCAAATTCCAAATATCCATAGACAGCCTTCCAGGATCAGGAAAATGAACAGAGAGGTTGTATAAGACTGTAGATTTGGAGGGATCATTGAAAGGGAAGGCCATAGGAACATCTTTGAAGGATTTTGTAAGAAAGAATTTTCTGGTAAACTGGCCATTGTCATCATGACAGCCACCCTGGATAGCCTGAGCTGAGCTGCCTGATTTGTGCCAATTGCTCCAGGCAACTGTGGACTAAGCTCACTAACACACCCGAGGCCCTCAAGGCCTGAAGACACGCTGACAGCAAGTCATTGTCCTTCCCAAGTGGGAAGCCTGGGGGACAGGACAGGCTCCTCTTCTGTCATCACGGCCCCTCCACCACGTTAGCAGCACCAGTCCCCGAGGCTTGAAGTTGAACCAAAAGTGGGTCCAGGCTGCCTAGAGCTGGCACACAAGTTTGAGTAACTTTTTCTTTTTTTACTTGTGCGACCTTAGAGGAAGTACATTATTTCCCTGTCTCAGTATCCTCGCCATAACAGCAGCACATATGCTGAGCGCTGCATTAGATCACAGTAGGCAAAGCCTGCAAAAGTGGGACTGGCACATGGTGAGTGCCTGCTCGGGCTCCAGTGGAGCAGAGGTGAAGGAAGTCTTGAGTTGCCTGAAAAATAGTGTTAACTTCAGCACAACAGGCTGACTTCCTTCTCTTTTTTGGGGGGTCATTGCTGGGTCAGTTGCACAGAAGAACACAGTGCTGTAAGCATGTCTTGGACGGTCTAGGTGTCCTCAAGTAGTCGAGGAGTTTCTCATTCCAGAATCACAGACACTGGGTTACCCTGAAGTTGGTCCAGAAACACTTCCCGTTTCTGGAGACAGCTTCTGGGGTGCTGATGCTCCAGGACCCAGGTCTGCTGGCTGGAGCCAGCGGCATAGCCAGGCAGGGTGTGCGTGGTGGTGCTCGAGGGCATGTTAGGACATTGTCTGAGAAATGCCAAAACTGTGCCCTAGAACGGCATGTGGGATGCTAGTCATTTGGCCCTGCCACGGGTCTCCGCAAACTACCCAGACACTTCTAAGAGGCTGTCTTTCACTCGGGCATCTATAGGTAGTTGTAAGGAAATCAAGGCCATAGGCGCTCAGAAGGTCTATTTTCATGGCCGCTGAGAGCTGGCCCAGGAGCATGAGGCAACCAGACAGGATCAGGACCCCAGCAGAGGCAGAGGAAGGAAAGTGTCTGCCTTTCTTCCTCGTAAAATGCCCCAGTGCTTCGCTACAGGCGGAGACCCAAAGGCCCCAAAGCCTCTGAACTCCTAGTGGGTCTCAGGTCAGAGGGCTTTAGTGACTCGGGTTGCCAGATGAAAGAAAGACACCTGGTTAAATGGGAATTTCAAATAACTGATGAATGGTTTCTTGGTGCACCCCAAATACTGACACATATGTGTGCTGAAAAGGTAATCGCTGCTTACCTAAAATTCAAATTTGGGCCTCCCTGGTGGTGCAAGGGGTTAAGTCTCAGCACTATGAAGCTCTCAGCAGCCTCTGCAGCATAAGTTCAATCCTGGCCAGGGAGGCAACCCACATGGCACAGCAGACCTCTCCTGTCTCCCCGCTGCTCCCCCAGCAGTAGATTTCAGTGAAGCTACCTCTTCTGTCCCCACTCTGTCTCTGGTGAATCCTCTCACCACCCCAACCTCTGGCCTGTACCCCGGTTCTTGTATGCATAAATAAATAAATCTTTAAAAACAATTTCAAATTTAACTAGGTATCCTGGATTTTTATTTGCTAAACCTGGCAGCCCTCTGTGTGGGATGGTCAAGGAGGGGGATGGGTGCCTGGAGCCTCCACCTGAAGGGCCCCTCAACACCAGCTCACCCAGTCGTCGAGTCAAGCAGGCCAGGACACCCACAAACTCTCAAGGCATAGCAGGCCATTGCGTGAAGGTCGCGGGCTCTGGCTGATCAGCCGCAGCTGGGAGAAAGTCCAGCGGCACACACAGTGGGGGTTGCAGGTGGTAGCTGGACAACTCTTCTGCTTCCTGGCAGCAGTGAGAAGTCTTGAGAAGACTTAAGTGTTTTGTCCCCAAATGTAAACCTGTATCTCCACAGACTACCGGAGCAGGATTAAAAGGCATGAGAACTGGGCCTCGCTGGTGGCACAGCGGGATGAGCACCGTGCTGTGAAGCTGTCTGCAGCCTCTGCAGTGCGGGTTCGATTCTCGGCCAGCCAGGGAGAAACCCACATGGCGCGGCAGGACCTCGCCTGTCTTGTCCGCTTCTCCCCTCAGCAGTGTCTTCGGTTCATCTGCCTGTTCTGCTCTCCATTCTGTCTCTGGTGAATTCTCTCACCCTCCTGCGCCTCTGATCTGTACCCCAGTTCTTGTATAAATAAATAAATTTTTAAAAAAGGCTTGAGAATTGGGCAGGACCCCCTGAAAACAGAGAACCTTCTCTGACAATACTTCACAAGGTCTGACCAGAGTGACCTGTACTCCCGGTCTGCGATTTGCCACATCTCTAGAGCAGGAACAGCAGCTATTTTCAAGGCTACATTCCCCCAATTCCCTTCTGGAAGATGAGTTGCAGAGAATTAGAAGGAAAAACAGCCTTGTGGATTGAGGACAGTGTCCAATCTGACTCCCTTGAGGTGGGTGTAGGTGGTAACCAGGAAAGGGGATGTGCTGTAAGGCTGGGTCTCCTACGCTGAGACAACAGTACTGGCCTCAGACAAGTGCACACAAGTACACAGTCCAAAAGCTAGGTTACCAAGCCAGAAACAAAGACCTACCCAAACAGGTCAAAAAGTCAAGACAGTCTCCAGAGGCAGAGTTCAAAGAGCTAACCAGCAGCAGGCCGTGCCTCCAACGTCAGCATGTGACTAGCCACCGGTGACTCATTCCTGAGCTTCCAGGTGGGGAATGTGGCAGGTTACAGATCCTCCGTGAGGGTGGAGATATTGTTAGGGATGAGGTCTCTGTGAACGCCAGTGAGAATGGTCACCACTGAGACTCTGACGTACTCGTGTTGTCGTGACTCTCTCCACACTTTTCTTTTTAGACCTCGTACCCCTCTGGTCTCCCCCATCTGCTCCTGGCCTTCCTGTGGCCTTCTTCCTAATCTGCAAATATTCGTCTTCCTCAGGGCCTTGCCCTTGACCTTCTGCTATTTTTCATTTGCTATCATGGTTCCAACTGAGAGGATAAATGGTTGAAATGTTGGTTGTAGAGACAAAAAAACCACTTGGGTGCTTTTTGCAACGTCCTAGCTAAGATGTGGGTGAAATTTTGTTTTGCATCTTTAAACTTCTCTAGACTTTATGTTTTTATCTGTGGTATGGAGGTAAGTAACACCATCTAGCGTGTATGGCTGTTACAAGAATTAAGTGAGAAATTGCATCACAGAGCGTCTGGTATGTAAGTGGCCAGCAAATGTAATGATATAGTTATTAATATTTATTGCCACTTCTATACTGTTGAGTTGCAGATTTTTGTTTCTAGCTCAGAAATGTCTCAGGAACCACACTCACCAATCCATCTGCCTATATATTAGGTCGTCAGAAAAGCCATGACATATTTTTCCTATGTTTTCTATCCAAAAACGTGTCATGACTTCTGACAACCCAATATATTTCTGCATGGACTCCAAAGACACCTCATGTTCATCGGGTCAAAACTGAAAGTATTCCTTTCTTCTTCGAAACTTTCTCTACTATCTACCTCAGTTGTTGACACTATCGTCCATCAGTCTTAGCTAGAATCTTAGAAGTCATCCTTGACATTTGCCATCCATGTCTGTTCCCCATCCAATCAATCATTAGAACAATTTTGCCTCTTCAATACTTCATTGTATCTCCACCCTCCATTTCTTGATTTAAAAATAAAAACTCTTGAAAAGCTAGTTAGTCGAGGCCAAGGCCTTGATTCTGAGAAAGTTCATGACTTTGGTGGCAAAGACAGATTCCTGTGATAGATTATATTACTATTCAGTATATCTGCTGCCTCTCCCATGGAATCTCCAGCAGGAATATACATCCCTGCCCCTTTGACATCTGGCTTCACGACAACTTCCATGAGCCAGTGGAATGTAAACAGAGGTGACATATGCCAGTTCTGCTCAGCTCTAGGCGATTCTGAGCAAAAACTGTAAGAACCCTCATGTCCCACCATTGCTTTTTCCCTGTGCTCTGACACCACTAAATTGCAAAATTTAAAAAAATGAAATAGGGTAACAGCCAATGCTTGGTGAATGTGCAATAGAACAAGAAATAAACCCTTTCATTTTTAGGATACCGGGATGGTTTGTTATTGCAGCGTAACCTAGACTAAAGGGACTGATCACACTTCTTTCAGGATTATTTGTAGCAGCCAATGCATGCTGATGTGGTAATCAGCGCGTCGCAGTGATGCGAGGTACTCTGGTGACGTGAAGTCAGAAGCCACGGTGTGCTAAGCTGAAGATACTTTTGAGTGCACAGGCTTTTGGATGAAGCACCTACTGTAAATAGAAAACTTAATTTGCAGACAGCATAGCCCGGAGATCAAAGATTTGACTCTGGTGTCAGATAGCCAGGTTGGAATATTTTCTCTGCTATTTGTTTGCTGTTCGACCTAGGTTAGGTTTCCTTGTCTCTGTCATTGTTTCCTTGTCTGTAAAAGGAAGTAACACGGCATATGTGAAATCACAGGTTGTGGTGAGAATTCAGAGAGTGGATGCACTTGAGGCTCACTGCACTGCATCTAAGTCAGCAAGTGTTTACCATTACTTGGAACCCTCCTGTCACCCTCAACATAGGTGATACTAGCTTCACTGTAGACCCGTGGAAGTACATATTTGGGGAAGTCAACTCAGAAAGTCACACTGCGGCTAAGCCACTTGGCTGCACCCTTGGCTGCACGCTTGGCCTGGGTGGGAGACAGATTAAACCTGGGAGGGAGAGCTCTCCTTCAGGGATAAAAGTTGGGGCTTGCCTACCTGGGAGGGCATGCTTGCAGGGAATAAGGGGAGACTCACTGAGCAGAAGGCAGAAAAACTGCTTTGTCACTGGCTGTGTGAACATGTCAAGTCTCTCAAACATTGATGCTCTTTGCTCATCTGCAAAATGGACACAAAACACCTGCTTTGTTCCTCCAGTCACAGGTGCTGGGAGGACACATAGCAGCAGAGCAGGTAACACAGTGGGGCTCTACAAGTGATGCAGGGTTGTGCTGTCAGGCGGATGTGCCAGGCTCCTCTACTCAGCCGTGGCCAGCAGCTCCTGCTAAAGCAACTTTTTGCTGGGCCCCTCTAGGGAAGATGGAACGGCTCAAGTTCTTTTTTACCTCCTGCCGCCAGCCTCTACAGCCACCTGGTTTTGTTGCCCACGTGTGATAACTCACTGGTAAGGGCACTTTGGAGTGTGAGCACGGGGCTCAAGCACCTGTGACTACAGACTCCTTATAATAGGCCGCAAGCATGAGGAGGATTGTGCATATGTAAATACAGACCCCTGGGCCGAGAAGCCAGCAATAAAAAGGGAGATTCACGGGAAGCTCAGTTGCTGTCTCCCCGCCTGCTGGTCTGCCTGTGAGTGTGGTCCCCTGACGATAGCTCATTGTCAGCCCTTTGCATTTGTCTGCACAAGCTTCGGCCTGGACGGGCTCCTCAGGATAAACATCTTTACCTTGACTGGCTTCTCCAAGGTCTCGGTGATAAAGGCTGTTTTTCTGCATTACGGGCATGCTAGAAATACCAAAGGCTCCAAAATTCTCTTTTCATCTGCCTGAACCAAAAGTGACCCTGCCTGGCCTGGGGGGCTGCACAAGAGCCCCCCATTGCGGCCTTTTGCCAGGTCCCTACTGCGAGCAGGCACTGGGCTTTCGCCTGCCGGGCTCCAGCATGGCCGAGCTGGTGGGCGACCCCAACATGGATGCAGCAGCTGCTGCTTATCTGTTGTTAGTCAGCGACCCAGACAGATGAGGTGTCCGTGGTGACCT